AAGTTTGTCTTCCAAATAATACTCTGCATCACAGGATGGTATGATAAAGAAGATTTAATGTCCAGTACCTGCTGTTGAAGTTTGACCTAGCAAATGTTTGTTTTATAATCAGAGTTGGGAAATAGTCTTGGCATATTCCCACACGACTTCCTTTAGATCAGGAATTTGTCGGAGCTTCTGACCACCTTCAAAATCATACGCCTTATTGGTAGATTCTCCAGTGATGACAAGTGTCTTGGATGGCGGCAGATTTTTCCTGAAATGGCACTGATGATTCTGAAGATCCTAGGAATGAAATGAGCCTATCTGTTTGCTTTGTGGTGCTGGGTTTTTACTGTATAATGTGACCAGGCTACAATCTAGAATCTTTGTATGTGAGTTGCAGATTTTGGATTTTGGCTTTTTTTCTACAAATAATCAATTTTATAATTATAGACCTTCCTAATAACAAAGCAGAAGTAAAGCTCTGCTTATAAACTAGAGAGGAATAAGGGTAGGGTGACCAGTTGTCCTGTTTTTAAAGGGACAGTCCTGTATGTAAACCCTCCTGTAGGTGTCACGACTTTTTCTTAAAACCAGGCAAATTGTCCCATATTTTCTGTCTCTTCTCCTCCCCCCAGTACTGGTGGGTCCTGCTGCTGGCCGGATCCCTGTCCACCAGCGGTGAATGGGGGGCTGATGATGGGATGGGGGTGCAAGGCTGGGGCCATCCACTCCCCCTGCCGGTCTGTCAGCACAGATCCTGCTGCATGTCAGCTCTCAGCCAGGAGGGCCCTGTCCTGTTTCTGGCCGGTGCTGGGTGCACACTGTGAGCTGCGGTAGCTGGTGTGTGTGGGCAGGCGCCAGGTGGCAGCTGGTTATGTGTCACCTCTGCGGCCCACCCCTCCGCCCTTTACAAGCTCCCCCTCTCGCTGTCCTCTCCCTGCTTTGCCCCTTCGCCATTCCCCACCCTGCTGCTCCTCCATATCCCCTTGGTGGGGAGCGACCCGCTCCCAGCGCTGTGTGGAGAACCAGCCCCTGGTCGGAGCGCTCAGCTCACCAACAGCCTGGCTAACAGGCTCCTTCCTCTCCCTCTACCTCTGGCTGGGCCGCTTCCCTGGGAAAGCCCAAGACCCTCCAGCCCAGAGCACTGGCCAGGAGGAGCCAAGCCCTGCATGTGCCAAACCCCTGCACTGCATTGGCATGGGGAAGCCTCTCCACCCCTCAGCTAAATCAGCTAAGCCCTGGAGTGGCGGCTGGGGCAGGGCTGCTCCATCCCCTAGGCTCCTTTCCCTGCTGAGCCACCTCTCTGGCCTGGTTTGCTGAAGCCCCGGCAGTCAGGTTCCCTGGGCCCTGGCCCACAGTGTATCCTTAGAGCTTAACCCCTTCCTGCCCGTGCTGTAGCCGGGGGGACAGGAGGCAGCTGGGTTTTGTTGGTGGCCAGCAGCAGCTTAGAGGTGTTAATTGCCATTCAACCTGTATGGGCAGGAAGGGACAAGCAGCTTCCAGCCACACCTGGGGCAGGGGGAGGAAGAGATGAGCTCTGCAAAGACATGGGCCAGGTCAGAGCTCCAAGGCAACCCCTTCTGCCCCTTCACCTCTGTCCTATCTATTTCCTGCTTAGCCCAGATCTGATCCCTCCCCCTCCTGCGGTTGGAGCAGCTCCCGTCCCTTCCTTCCCACACAGTGCTGAAAGGCTGCTGGCCACATTCTGGTGTGAACCCTGGCAGAAATCTGGGGAGGGGGCGTGTGACCCTGTGTGTATTTCAGTTTTCTCTCTCATCATTCTCAGTTGAATCCTTCCAATAAGGAAATGGGGCCCTTGAATTTGGGAAGAATTCAGATCTGGATCCAAACTTTGTGGCTATCCCTATCTATCTCTATAGTGGGGTTGAACCAAACTATGGGTTCCAAACGCCCCATCAGTGTCGGAAAGTTTAGTATCTGATCTGGATCCCGATTCGAACTCCTTTCCTGGGGCCATCTGTCTTCTCAGTAAGTGAGCTTATACAGGAGCAGGTGGCCAGGGGAGACTTTGTACTGCTTGACAGTCCGGGTGGCTTTGCCAGACCCGAAAAGTTGAGCTGTGGCTGGGGAAGTGCTTGTAGCTATGTGGTTATACGCTGAGGATTAGCCACAACTGATGAAGCCCTTTGAAGGCTCTGTAACTAGCACTGCAAGGCATCGCGTTTTGATGGAAGAGTGGAGGCTTCGGGATCTAACCCTTCATGTTTGATTTTCGCCTGCAATGCGCCTGTCTCCTGCTCCGCCATTCTGCTGCCTACAAGAATGCGGCTGCAGCCGGGGAGGCTCAGATGCCGCCCCCCCCCCCCCCCCCACACACACACACATGTTGTCTCGCCCCCGCTCAGGCTGCTGCGCTGTGCTCCTCTGCGGCTGTGCTCCGGGTGTGCTCGCAGCGCAGAGAAAGGGATTAAAGCGCCCACACAGAGGCGTGTGGAGATCACCATGTTGCTCCCTCTCACACCGCAAAGCAGCACAACACACAGTGCGGAATGGGTGGAGGGGAGAGACCGGGGGAGAATTTTCCAGCTGACCCAGAGATTCCACTCCCAGACACCCACCCGTCTCCTGTTTCCTGCGGCTCTCTCCTGGTGGCAGAATGACATTCCCCCTCCTTTCTCCCCACCCACCAGAGACGAGAGGTCTCTGTGTTGCAGGCAGCCCGGACCTCAGCCATCGCTGTCTACTTGTCTTTGTTGCTCCCTGAGCGGGGCTGAAAGATTGCACTGTAAGGTTCTGGTTTTCCTCCAAGTCCTCGAGTCCGCTTCAGAGCTCCAAGGCAACCCCTTCCGCCCCTTCACCTCTGTCCTATCTGTTTCCTGCTTAGCCGAGATCTGAAAAATCACTGTCAGTTCAGTGGCACTCCCTGATCCAACCAACACTTTAGTGTCTGTACCCTTGTCTCTTTAGTGTAGGTAGCCCTGTGTCTGTAATGTCGCATTAATACTAGTTCAGCCGGAATCTCCGGCCAACGGAGTACTCTGTGCCTAGCTCCGTTTTCCTTGATTTTGGGCAGCCCCAGTCAGTGCTGAGTTACATGTTTAGCCTCTGAGCCTTCACTTGGTGTCAAGTTACAGAAAAGCTACACCCTAGCAGTACCCCTATTTACATACAAATAACTCAAGTGCTTGCATTTATGTCGCCATTCAAGAGGCTTGCCAAAGAAGTTTTAATCCAATCAGAAGAAGCTTTAAAAGGATGTCTATAGACTGATTAAAAAGGATCTTAACCTCAAATAAGTTGTCATTATTTTTCACTTTGTTTCATATTTGCAAAGATTTTTTATTTGAGTTGAGAGGACAAAGATGCACATTTCTTAAAATACGTACGAAGAGATCAAGGTGTTAAGAAGATCTCAGTTGTGTGGAAAGTGAATATGACCCACAGGAATTAGTTTGCTTGTGCTGGTTTGGAGATTAACTCCTAATCACTTCTTAAAGACTAATAGGAATTCTTGGGAACATCAGGGAAAAAAATCTTATAGACCAGACTGGTGAAAATGGCTTTCCAAAACAGTAAGAGTTTTAAAGTTAAATTTAGTATTTAATGTTGTTGTTTTTTTTCAGAATTTCATGCTCTATGGTATATTACAAACATTTTAGCCTTTAAATTGTTACTTAAAATAATCTCTGTTGCTGCGTTGCAGTAGAAAGTTGATCTGTTTATTTTGTCGTTTGCAAAGCAGTAGCTGAAAGGGTATTTTTAGAATTGATTGGTAGTTTAAAAACAGAGCTCAGTCTGTGGTTTCCTGAGTTAAGTGAATGGAAAGTCTAAACGCTACTGAATGAAGAAATTGGAAAAATATAGCTGAGGTTTATGAATCAATCACCTTTGTGAATGCACCATCTGAACTCTTTTCTCTTTTGTGCAACTTTTGTGTACTCAAAAATGTGTTCAACAAGAAAAGGGTTAGAGTTTGAATTTATAAATGTAATAAATTTAGCTACAGTGCTCTGTACTCTGTATTATAGAGGGGACAGTAAAGAAAATCCTAAAACCACAAGGGGCATATTTTAGACCTGCTCTGTCACTGCTGGAATGTAGTTTTCAGTATGATGTAATGGTGTTCAGATGTACTTAGTGAAAGCAAGTTAGTTCGTTAACCCTTTCTTACCGTACTGTGTTCTTCTTAAAGAGCAGCTTTTGTTACTTTCAGTTTTCCTTTTTGCTTTTTACAAATTTACTAGGTTTTTACTTCCCAATTAATATCTAAGCAGCTGTTAGTTCATATATACCTAGCATTGTTGAAATTAGCATAGTCATTGGGGTGAATTTTTAACTTCAGATTCATAGTAATTCAATAATATTTTAGAGATATGTTTTGCTCTAATCTATGCTAGTATTAGTCATGATGTCACTCCCCCATCATATACAGTAATGAAAATTCTTGACAAATGATTTATTTTGTCTTAATAAAATGATCTTACTACTAGGAACCTCAGCATATAGTAATATAAAAAGCATTGAGAAAAATCTTATACTAATTCAAGTTTGTAAAACGTTTGGGAGAAAATCAAAAGAAGAGGTGTGCCTGGCCTTCCATTCAGTGTCAAAACATGCTTCACTCTTCAATGTGAGTCTGCAAACAGATAATGACTAAAAACAGCTATTCAAGATTATAGAATGACCTGCCTTTCATTCAGCTTCATGTCTTTTTTTGTAAGGAAGGGGCAAAGACGTTAAATGGTGTTAAACCCATAGAGAGAGGCTTAGGTTGCAAGAACAATTGACTAACTTCATTCCTGGTATAACTCTTGAATCAGTGGAGTTATAGTATCAAGAACTTTGGCCCCTTATACTAACCACTTGTATATAATTTTTTTTCAAACCTATGCAGATGGTAGATCATTGACGTTCTGCTATGGAAAAAAACCTCTGGGGATGTGATGTGATTGATTACTTGTTGGAAAGTAGTGGAAGGATATTATGAATTACTGAACACATGAACATTTATGTTACATGTAACTTCTGATTTCAGTTAGTTTTTATATTGGCAGGTGAGGATGCAATGACAGGCGATACAGACAAATATCTTGGGCCACAGGATCTAAAAGAGTTGGGAGATGATTCCCTGCCTGCTGAAGGATACATGGGCTTTAGTCTAGGAGCCCGCTCTGCCAGGTACTGTATTAGATGTTTTTAATTTTTATACTTCATCAAAAGTACAATCTATTTCAAATCCAGTGCATTTTTTCACACGTTACCAAAATAAATTTTAAATAAAAAATGGTGGTTGCATGTTTCAGCAGTCTGATAATCCCTTATGTTTAAAGTATACATTCATTGCTGTTTGGTTTTGTATTGTTAATTCATATTGGCTTCATCATGTGGCAATGATACAGAAAATTAATTGTTCATTTTTTCTGGTATCCACTCATGCTCCAGAAATATAAAAAGTACTTCTTTGCAAACAGCTGGTAACTTACATAGAGCATCTGTGTAAAAGCTAATACAGACCATCTAGCAAAACCAAGTTTCTTTCAGTCATTAGCACATGTTTATATATTCCCTACTGTGCCTGCTTTATCAGATGAATGTAAACACCATAGACTAAAACTGGGGAAAATGAATGATATTCATTTGGCTATATCAATACATATGTTTCTTTAAAGGTGCAAATTAAGAATCAGATAGAAACATTCAATATAAAAATATTCCAAAAACAAATTAATTTTTTACATTTTTATTGTTAACCCAAATCCATTACCCTATTTCATTTGCTAGGGAATAAACATATTTCTTGTTAAGGAAAATAGGTCAGTATTTCAAAACATATATTACAGAACACTATTGATTTCTACTCTTGTGTTTCTAGCACAGATGTTTGGATTGTTGAAAATTTTTGCTAAAACTTATTGCATTGTACAATTGGCTTGAAACGAACAAAGCTGTACGCGCAGAGATTACTTCCACAGTTGTGGACTAGCAGGGTGTTTACTGATAGTTGAATTATTTTGAAGCTAATAATTAAACCTCACAAGCCAGAGCCCTGAGGACTTTTTCCTATAGTTTAATGATCTGTTGTAAAAAGTTATTTCATTGTCTAACAGTGAATGGCACCTCCCATAAGGTAAAGCTTGATGTTTATTTTTCACTCTTGTTTGTTGTGGCTGCATTAGATATCGAAGCATGCACTCACATGCTCTGTATTCTTTTGTTTTGCTTATAAGCCCCAGGTAATGTAATAAATGTTTATATTATAATACATCTAGAAGGGATCTTAAAGTACTCTTAAAAATAGCATATGTGTTAGAAGATAAGCAAAATTACTTTTAATGGAAAATCTAACAGTTTTATAGGGTTAAATAACATAGTTAATCTTAATTTTAAAATATAAGTTATATTATGGACAAAGCCCATCAATACGCTGTAGTTTCAGTATGTGGTAAATGTTTAAGTACATAGGTGAGGAATTTGGGGGTGAAGAGAATGCAGTAATGCACAAAATTCTGCTCAAAGATCTCCATGATAAATGTCAACTGTTACTCTGTTCTCCCCACCTGTGTAATTTCCATTCAGGTGAGTGGGAAAGCAGAATATCCAAGGTGAGATCTATCATCTATATCTAAGAATGGAATTTTACCTCTTTTTTTTTTTTCTTCACTTGAGAGAATTCTAAGGCTTTCATACTTCTGATTTTAACAGCATCATTATTCTTTGTTTCTGTGTAACTCATTTTTACATCTGCATATGTGTATGTTATGCTCAGAGGAGACAAATATATAATGTCTTTTCATGTAATTTATTACATTTAGCAAAAAGCCCACTGTGACTTTATCCTATTATTGATTCTGAGTGTAACATTAAGAAAAAAAATACATTAAATATGTCATCCAGCCATAGCATTTTGCTTTTTCCAGTCTGATTCCTCGCTTTCTATTTCTTCTGTTTCTTTTCCCCTATAAATTTCTTAAATAGTCCTAAAATCAGGTAAGAAGGCGTGACACTTTCATGACATTTCTCTGCTATTGCCATTGCTCATTTTCATTTTACTCAGCATTGTGAAGTGGCATGCCTTTTTGTGTTTAATATTAGAAAATATTCTTTTTTTATGGTGACATAACAAATATGACATGATTTCGTTACACCCTTTATAATTTAAAAAGTTTAATTAATGTATGCTTATAATAATAAAGGTTCCAATTTTGATTCCATTAAAATTAGCAGGGTGCAGTATAATGAGAAATTTAATGAATATTTTGAGGAACTTAGAAAAGTTCTAGTAACAAGTACAAGGTGCATGTAATAAATTGTAGCGCTTTAAATTGAAAAAAAATTACTTGTTTAAAATCATATTCATCTTTCTAGATGCTGGTTTTTTGTTTGAATTTTTTTTAGTGACCTAGCAAGCATGTCTGAACTTGTAGCATGTTTTCTAACACATACTATATGTATCTTCCAGGGCTAAATATGCGCACACATTTATTTTCTTTAGTCACAGCATACTCAGATTTGTCATTCTTAATTTCCAAAGTGTTTAACATCCAAAAAAAACCACAAAAACTAATATATTTCCTCACTCTTTAATTGTGAACAAGGAACCTTTTTTACAAATTACTATTTTTTTTATTAGTAGAAAAATGAATAAATAGGGTTTTCATAATAAAGTTAAAAGTAGCTCAGCCCCAAAAAGCTGAGACAAACTCTGAAAATTGAACCAGTTTAAGACCCTGATTCTGCAGTTTGATCAATGTGACAGAGCCGGCACATATGCAGAACCCCAGTGAGGTCAGGATCCACCCTCATGGAGTTAGTTGCAGGATCAGGGCCTAAACGTGTTTTGGACATTTTTCAGAACTAGCATAAATATCTGAATATATTTTTCCATAGATTTAATCTCAATCCGAACAGAAAAGCAATAAGCAAGCATTCATTGGGACTATTGATTTTGAGTATGATAGAAAAGAAAATAACATTGTAAAAAGTTGAATATTCATTTTTTTTAATGTCTCATTTATTCTACTTCAGAGATTATGTATATTTTATCATCTTTTGCATTTCCCTGGAAGTTGCATGTATTAATTTTTTTTTGTTCATCCCATTGTCATCTACATGTTCTATGGTAAATTGTAAAATACAACAGCCTCCGCTCCTTCAGTTCGGATAGGTCCTACACTCTGAACAGAAGTTCCTATGCACGAGACAGCATGATGATTGAAGAATTGCTGGTACCATCAAAGGATCCGGTATGTGCTATGTACCACCTGGCTACTGTTTATGTTTTATCTATATAAGGCCACGTTCTTCAGTCTTTTCATAATGCTTACTAAGACCACTACCATGTCCATTAACCTGAATGGGGGAAGAAAGGGGTTGAAATAAGGACTGAAGGATTTGCTCGATTGTGGGCTTGATCTTGCAAGAAGCTGAGTACTCTGGTCCTGATCCAGCAAAGCATGTAAGCACATAATTAACGGTGAGCATGTGAGTAGCCCCATTGAAGTCAATGAAACTACTTGTGTAGTTAAGCATGCCCTTAAATGTTTTGTAGGGTTTGGGCCAAAGTACTCAGCAGCTTGCAGGATTAATCCCTATGTCCACATGTGTTACTGCAGCCTTTTTATGCAGTAATATAAACCATGTGCCATTTGTGAACTTGTGGGATGCCCTTGATTTCCCTCACATGCATCCAAAGGGAAGAATTTGGCCTTGTGGTTATGATGAAGCTATTTTCACTAACTTTTAACATAGTTTGAAAGTTTGTATAATGATTAATTTAACAAAAGTTGAATCTAGAGCTGCTTACAGTGTGGGAAAGAACTTTAAAAAGTTAATGGTGGTTATATCTAGATGGTGTTTGCTTTGTTTTATGAGTTCTCAGAATTTGCTAAACAGACTTTTAAAAAATTTAAAATCACATAGATTTGTTCAGAAGTTGAATAGAAATTTTCATGTCAGTTTTGGGGTAAAAGAATAGCATAGTTGTATTGTGAATTATCTTCATAATACTTGAGGTCTGATCCAGCAGATTTTTATTCATGCACTTAGGGTGAAATTGACCCCTGTTCAGAAGACCAGCACACACCACTTAAGTCCCACTTTTGATTGTTAAACAAGTATTAAAGGAGGTAGTTGTGCTCCATTAACCTACTGTGCATTACAAAGAAGAACTAGAAAATGAAGCATAACTTACCAGTAATTGTGTCTTAGATCTGTTGTGAAGAATATTGGGTAATTGTACTTTTGAGGCAAACTCTATTCTGCATATGCTGTCATAGACTCTACTTTCTCTGGGGGATCTCACACGGGACTTAGTTCTTGGATTAAACAGCAGCAAATCTGGAGCGCTCATTAATGCTGATACTGAGCAATACTGTAAAGCATTGATCTCCAACCTTTTATGCCCAAGATCACTTTTTGAATTTAAGGGCAACCCAGGATCTACCCCGCCCCTTCCCTGAGGCCCTGCCTCTTCCCCAAAGCCCTGCCCCACTCACTCCATTTGCCCCCTCCCCTCCAGTCTCTCACTCTCCCCTACCCTCACTCACTTTCACTGGGCTGGGGTAGGGAGTTGGGGTTTGGGAGGGAGTGTGGGCTCTGGGCTGGGGTCGAGGTTGTTCACAGTGTGGGAGGGGACTCTGGACTGAGCCTGGGGCAGAGGGTTGGGATGCAGGAGGGGGTGAGAGGTGCAAGTTCTGGGTGGGAGAAGGAGAAGGTGCAGAAGGAGGCTCCAGGCTGGGGCAGAGCGTTGGGGTGCAGGAGGGTGTGCGGGCTCTGGGAGGGAGTTCAGGAGCAGGAGCTGGCTGCTTCCATGAGCGTCGTGGGGCTGGGGCAGGCAGGGAGCCTGCCTTAGTGGCAGCCCTGCTGCGCCACTGGAGATCGCGATCGACTGGGAGATCCTCTAGGATCGACCAGTCGATCACGATCAACTGGTTGGTGACCACCGCAGTAAAGGCTACTTTTCATGTTTAATCTTCATTTTTGTGATTTCAGTTTTGTAATAATGAATACAATTCACGCAAGTAGAATTTTGTGCCCTCTAAGACAGAGGCCAGACTGAGGTCTTCCTGAAAATCTAATATGGAATGTTACTTTAATTTAAATTAAATTGCTCTTAGGACTTTTGTTATGACCAGGAAAGGATCCAGAGTGTGATTATTGTTGTCAGTTTGGGAAGAATGTGAATCACTTTGATGATAACCAGATATTTGATTCCAACTGCACATCTATCTACTTCAATTACAACATAAAAAGAATGTCCATTCCAGGTTCTCTGCACCATTGACAGATGATTAAAAGCACGATCCTGTCATGATGAAAACAGCAGTAACAAACCAACATTTTTCTGTATAAAAGAAGTCATTCCAACAAAATCAGAATTTCCCATCATGGTTCCTGCAAAACTCTAGTCCTGAAATACAAATCCTCACCTCCACCTGACTCCCCTCAAACCTCACCCCTGCCTCAACATCTGCCAAAATCAAAGGGCTTAGGTCGACATATTTGGGCTATTTTGGCCACAGTGGAAGAAGGTTATTCTGAGGGTAAGGGGCCCACAAAAAGAACATCCTACTAACAGTTGGCATATACCAGTGGAGTTCCAGCTGATTTTTGCTGCATCAGAAAAAAAGTTTGGTGTCTCAGGTATACAAGCCACAAAGAGCTTTATAGGTCAAAACTTACACCTTAAACTCCACCTGGAAACCAACAGAAAGGCAGTGCAGAGTCTTTAATTTTTCGTGCTGTGTGCATATGCTGAGATACAGCACTTAGCAAAGAGCCACATTCTTCTGCAGCATCTTCCTGTTTGAGTGCATGTAAAGTGTAGTCCTATGCAGAGCTCATTACCATATTATAATTTTGCAGTGAAAATGGCATGAATTACTGCATCAAGGTCTGCACTTGACAGAGAGGGTCATGGCCTCTTGGATGGATGCAAATGGAGAAAAACCACCATAGTCAGTTCTTCCTAAGATCATGTAGGAGCAGATGAAAATCAAGAGCCATCCCAGATATGGAAGTTTAAAAATCAGTCCATAGCAGGTGTGATTGTCAGCATCGAGTGGTTGTTTCTTGAGAGAAGTTTCTGAAGCCCTCTAAGACCTGTTGGACCTTCTTAATGGAGGCCTTGACAATCTCCACCAACATTGGGCCCAATACTTCCCTGTTAGTATGGGCTGGATGAATGCACTATAAGGTGGGTAGAAAGTTAGCTAGATTGTCGGGCTCAACGGGTAGTGATCAATGGCTCCATGTCTAGTTGGCAGCCGGTGTTTAGTGGAGTGCCCCAGGGGTCAGTCCTGGGGCCGGTTTTGTTCAATATCTTCATAAATGATCTGGAGGATGGTGTGGATTGCACTCTCAGCAAATTTGCGGATGATACTAAACTGGGAGGAGTGGTAGATACGCTGGAGGGCAGGGATAGGATACAGAGGGACCTAGACAAATTGGAGGATTGGGCCAAAAGAAATCTGATGAGGTTCAATAAGGATAAGTGCAGGGTCCTGCACTTAGGACGGAAGAACCCAATGCACAGCTACAGACTAGGGACCGAATGGCTAGGCAGCAGTTCTGCGGAAAAGGACCTAGGGGTGACAGTGGACGAGAAGCTGGATATGAGTCAGCAGTGTGCCCTTGTTGCCAAGAAGGCCAATGGCATTTTGGGATGTATAAGTAGGGGCATAGCGAGCAGATCGAGGGACATGATCGTCCCCCTCGATTCGACATTGGTGAGGCCTCATCTGGAGTACTGTGTCCAGTTTTGGGCTCCACACTACAAGAAGGATGTGGATAAATTGGAGAGAGTCCAGCGAAGGGCAACAAAAATGATTAGGGGTCTGGAACACATGAGTTATGAGGAGAGGCTGAGGGAACTGGGATTGTTTAGTCTGCGGAAGAGAAGAATGAGGGGGGGATTTGATAGCTGCTTTCAACTACCTGAGAGGTAGTTCCAGAGAGGATGGTTCTAGACTATTCTCAGTGGTGGAAGAGGACAGGACAAGGAGTAATGGTCTCAAGTTGCAGTGGGGAGGTTTAGGTTGGATATTAGGAAAAACTTTTTCACTAGGAGGGTGGTGAAACACTGGAATGCGTTGCCTAGGGAGGTGGTGGAATCTCCTTCCTTAGAAGTTTTTAAGGTCAGGCTTGACAAAGCCCTGGCTGGGATGATTTAATTGGGGATTGGTCCTGCTTTTGAGCAGGGGGTTGGACTAGATGACCTCCTGAGGTCCCTTCCAACCCTGATATTCTATGATTCTATGATTCTAGTCTTCATCAATTACAAAAGACATGGGTCCAAAGCATCTTGTGCAACACCAGCCTAATACAAGGAGAGAGTTCAAGTCTCTCTTCCATCAGGGTCCTGCTGTGCTACCACAGATGTAGACAGGTCAGTCAGAATCTGAATGATTCTCTCTTCAGAATTATTTACTTCAAAATGGCAGGCACTCAAATCAGCCTCTGGAGAAGATAGCCTACATTAACCAGTCTATCCACTATGTAGGACTTCACCGGTGGTTGCTGAATCATTCCTGTTTGGGTAAGCTCTCCTGGGAGAAAGGATCATAGTTTGCTGCACCTCTCATATCACACAGCAAGGCCATGCAGTCATGCAACTAGCAGGATTACTGCCTTTAGGAGCAATCAGTGAAATTTTGGCAATGCACCCTTGAAACCCTGCGTCTGATAAGGCCACCCAATACAAGATGAAGAGAAGCAAAAATTCTGAATAGTGTTGGAGACAGCATTACCGCAAAACACAAGCGGTTATAGACACCAACATGTTTCCAGTGTAGTGGATCATGGAGCTCCTAGGGATGCTGTATGTACAGTTTGCCAGAATTGTGGGAAGCAAAGATTCTTAGAAAAGGACTCTACAGCCCAAGTGGGCAGGCAATCCAGATAGATTTTACTCAATGGGAAGATGATGACTAGTGATGGTTAACAACATATGTCAGTATTGGAACCAGCACTATTTAAACTGCAGACAAGAAGCCTATTAGCTCCGCCCTGTAGGATAATCTTGTGTGTCAATGGGGAGCTACTCAGGATTTAAACTGATATGGGAGCAGTGCTTTGAACCATATTTCTTGGACCACAGAAAGTTTCTGTGAGGTCACTTAATGAAACAGATATGGTACTAACATCTTCCCAGATAAGAGACTACGGCTAAGTGGACATTATGGTGTTAGTGCAGTTCCATGATGAGTGAGATGTACTTCCTTATTCCTGAGGCTAGAATCCTGGC